TTTTTTTTTTAATTTACCAGAAACATTCATTGGATTTTCCTTTGAGCATACCCACGAAAGGACATTTCTCACAGAGCGATGCTTTTGTCAATACTGTCCCGTTTACTTTCATTAACAATTACCATTATTTTTTTAACACCTATATGGTTGGAAAAGGACAGAAAATAACTTTTTGAGGAAAAAGGAGGAAAAAAGTTAAGGCCAAAGATGAGCTTGTATTTTTCTATTTTAAGAGTTTTTAAGTCTTATGCAAATTCAGATCCTTTTTACTTCTGATTCACTCTGAGACCCAAACATTTTTTGCTGTTTTTTGTCTTCCTCAGTTTGTATGTGGCAGCCTCTCTTTCTCTCTCTCCCTATCTCTCTCTCTCTCTCTCTCTCTCTCCCTCTCCCTCTCTGTCATCTAACACATTTTGTCCTCCTTTGTTCTCCATGCCACCCACTGGTGCCATACTTTAATCCATAAAGTGGTGGGATTGCTGCATGTTGTATAAGAGGAATACTCTTTAGTGAAAGATGCTTTCCCAGGAAGTTCCAGTTTTCAGCAAATTTTTCTATATTATCAGGTCAACCTGTTGTTGGTGATGATTACCTAGAGAAGTTTTTACAAAACTATGAAATGGAAGAAGACATTAAAATACTATTGGAGATGCCAGCAAGCAGTGAAAAAGAAATGGCTGAAAGAAACCATGTGCCTCCAGCTGCTCCACCAGGTCAGTCTGGCTCTGTACGGGGTTTTGCAAGATCACTGGGGTGAAGAAAAGGGGTAGAGATGGGATATGAGTGACAAGACATTTGATTCTTGGTTTCTTGCAATTTCTAGGACTCATTTCAGGCTCCTTTGCCTTTATCAATCAAATTTTTTATGCATGTATTCACTCCTTTATATAGATATTCCTATATGCATGGAATATGATGCCTGTACTAACCTTAAATATCACTAATACTGAGTAAGGAAAAACTGACATTTTCCATTACCTCAACAAGGCTTGATTTCTTTGAAGGGACAAACGTGGAATCAGAAAACCAGGAGGAATCAAAGAATCCCTTGGTTTCTGAGCGTGATCAGGATGGACTGTGTGAGTCGAGAACAGAAAAGATCCTGAGGAAAACTCGCCACCGTGCTAGAAAAGAGGTAAGGCCAACATGACTTGTGAGTCAGAGTCATCTTCCAAATTGACATCTATGTGCATGTCAGAGCAGAGGCCTCCTGCTAACATTAAGAAGTGAAAGATAGTAGCTCCAAATACTTGAAATTCCCTAAAGTTCTATGAATCCTGACAGTACACAAACATGAAAATTCTGCAGTGATACAAAATGAACGATAAAATTAAATGATATGATAATTATAATTCAATTATATTTTAATTAAGGTAATCTTGTGCCCTAAGAAGAGGAGATTTCTCAAAATGGTGCACGAAATGACAGAAGAAGTGAAGAGCTGTGTGAGTATTTTTTTCCCAATCTGGCCTCATAACTACTGAATAACTCCCTTTTCCCAAAACCTTTGTTTCTTTGTGATGCTTATTTGGCTTAAGAAGAAGCTGTGGCCTTAGGCTCAGATTGACAATCAAACTCGAGACAATCAGCCTCACCCTACTCAGATTTACTTTCTCTAAGAAAACACACAGGATTGGCAAAAAGAGTATTTTCAGAACAGCATAGCACGTGCGTCCCAGAATGACATTCCGATGTTCCCAAGAGATGCAGTACTGGGCACACATGGTCATCGCAGAGATGGCTCAGGCCACCTCATCTCAGGGAAGCCGTCGGTTCTGGGTCCTTTATTTTTTGGTGCTTTGTTAGTCACATATCCTCCCCTGACCCCCATCCCGGGCAGATGTAACTACCCTCTCTCTGGTGCTCAGCCTCATCACTGCAGGTCACTCTGTACTCATTAAACTTGACGATGAGTACAGAGCAGCTTCGTTAGATTCACGTTTATCTTAAATCTCTGTACTCAGAAATTATTCGAGTCAGTTATTCAAGGAGGATTAGCCTGAAGATGAAATCGTCAGGCATCCCTGAAGCTGGAAGAAAGGTCACAAAGCAGCTTTCACCCTTCTTCTGCCTCTTATTTTTCCTCCTGCTCTGTCTGCTTGTTCTCTCTGTCTCTGTCTCTCTGTCTCTATCTCTCTCTCTGTCTCTGTCTCTCTCTCTGTCTCTCTCTGTCTCTCTCTTTCTCTCTGTCTCTCTCTCTCTCTCTGTCTCTCTCTCTGTGTCTCTCTCTCTCATCTTCACACACTCTCTCAGGGCTGTGACATGGAAACATGGCTGAGAAATG